ACCTAAGGCATTTGACTGTTACCAGAAGGTTGGTGGTTCAAACCTACCAGCCACTCTGGAAGGAAGATGGGGCGATCTACTTCCGTAAAGATTTACTGCCTTGGAAACCCCATGGGGCTCGCTATGAGTCAGACTAGACTCAATGGCAGTGAGTTTGGTTTTTGGTTTGGCTTCATGTAAAAGATCAGCTTCAGGTTTGGACTGACAAGTGAACCCAGGGCCCTGTTTGTCTGGAAACAACAACGTTCACAGATATGAAATGTGGTGTCTAGAAAGCTTATCTGAACTCAGTTCCTAGGTTAGAAATGAAGGCTGCTTCTATGTGTCAAAGTGATTTCAATTCTCCAGAAAACAGTTATATTCCTATGGATATTTATTTCACTCTTAATGACATGATTTCAAATTGTATAATTTCTGAGAGACTGTAAATTTTTAAGTCTTTTTCTGTGAGTAAGAAAACAGTAGTCAAGAAACAGTAGATTTACAGCTGCAATGTAAATTTAGGAGAAGGATTTGTCTTGTCTGCTAGTCATCCATCAGTTTGTTGTACTGTGGTGGCTTGTGTGTTGCTGTGAGGGTGGAGGTTATGCCACTGGTATTTCAAATACCAGCAGGGTCGCCCATGATGCATAGGTTTCAGTGGAGCTTCCAAGCTAAGAAAGACTCAGAAGAAAGAAGGGGCCATCCACTTCTCAAAGAATTGGCCAGTGAAAACCTTATGAACAGCAGTGAAACACTGTCTGATATATTACTAGAAAACTTTATGAATAGCTCTGAAACATTGTCTCCAATATAGTGCCGATGATGAGCTCTTCAGGTCAGAAGGTGCTCAAAATACAACTGGGGAGGAGCTGCTGCATCAAAGCAGAGTCGACCTTAATAATGTGGATGGAGTAAAGCTTTTGGGAACTCCATCTGATGATGTGGCATGACTCAAAATGGGAAGAAACAGCTGCAAGCATCCATTAATAAATCAGAACACGGAATGTATGAAATATATTAATCCAGGAAAATTAGAAGTTTTAAAAAATGAAATGGAACACATAAAGATCAATATCCAAGGCATTACTGAGCTGAAATGGACTGGTTTTACCCATTTTGAATCAGACAACCATATGATCTACTATGCCTGGAATGATAAATTGAAGAGGAATGGCGTGGCATTCATTTTCACAAAAAATGATTCAAGATCTATTCTTAAGTACAATGCTGTAAGTGATAAGATACTAACCATACACCTGACAAGGAAAAGCCGTTAATACCACTGTTATTCAAATTTACGCACCAACCACCAAATCCATGAGGAAATTGAAGATTTTTACCAACTTCTGCAGTCTGAAATTGACCAAATATGCACTCAAGATGTGCTTCAAGTCATCTTCACTTTCAGCAAGCAAGGTTGTGTCTTTACTGGTGATTGGAATGCAAAAGTTGGAAACAAAGAAGAATCAACAGTATTTGGAAAATTTGGCCTTAGTGACAGAAATGACTCCAGGGATTACATGATAGAATTTTGAAAGACCAGCAACTTATTCATTGTAAATACCTTTTTCAACAACATAAATGGTGGCTATACACATGGACTTTGCCAGATGGAAGACACAGGAATCAAATCGACTACATCTGTGGAAAGGGGAAATGGAAAAGCTCAATATCTTCAGCCAAAACAAGGCCAGGAGCTGACTGTGGAACAGACTATCAGTTGCTCATGTGCAAGTTCAAGATGAAGCTGAAGACAACTAAAACAAGTCCACAAGAGCTGAAATATGACCCTGATTACATCCCATCTGAATTTAGAGAGCTTCTAAAGAATAGATTTGATGTACTGAAAGTCAATGAATGAAAACCAGAGAAATTGTGGGATGACATCAAGAACATCATCCATGAAAAAAGCAAAAGGTCATTTACAAGCAATAATCCAAGGAAAGAAAGAAAAGACCAAAATGGATGTAAGAAGAGACTCTGAAATTTGCTCTTGAGTGGAGAGTAGGTAAAGCAAATGAAAGAAATGACAAGATAAAAGAGCTTAACAGAAGATTTCAAACAGCAACTTGAGAAGACAAAGTTAATTATTATAATGAAATGTGCAAAGACCTGGATTTAGAAAACCAAAAGGGAAGAACGTGCTCAGTATTTCTCAAGCTGAAAGAACTGAAGAAAAAATTCAAGTCTTGAGTTGCAATATTGAAAGAGTCTATGGGCAAAATATTGAATGATGCAGGAAACATCAAAAGAAGATGGAAAGAATACACAGAAAAAAATTTTATCAATGTTCATCTATTTCAGGAGGTGGCATATAATAAAAAACCAATGGCATTGAAGGAAGAGGCTGAAGCAGGCTGAAGGAATTGGTGAAAAACAAGGCTCCAGGAATTGACGGAATACCCACTGAGATGTCTCAATGAATGGATGCTGCACTGGAGGCACTTACTCATCTATGCCAAGAGATTTGGAAGACAGCTACCTGGCCAACTGACTAGAAGACATCCATATTTGTGCCCATTCCAAAGAAAGGTGATCCAATAGAATGTAAAAATTATTGAACAATATCATTAACATCACATGCAAGTAAAATTTTGCTGAAGATCATTCAAAAACAGTTGCAGCAGTATATTGACATGGAACTTACAGAAATGCAAGCTGGATTCAGAAAAGGATGTAGAACAAGGGATATCAGATGGATTTTGTGCTGATGTCAGATGGATCTTGGCTGAAAGTAAATACCAGAGAGATGTTTACTTGTGTTTTAGTAAGCATGCAGAAGCATTCAACTGTGTGGATCATAACAAATTACAGATAACATTGAGAAGAATGGGAATTCCAGAACACTTAATTATGCTCATGAGGAACATATACATAAACCATACATAGAAGCTGTCTTTGGAACAGAACAAGGGGATACTACATGGCTTAAAATCACGAAGGGAGAAAGTCAGGCTTGTATTCTTTCACCATACTTATTCGATCTATATGCTGAGCAAATAATCCAAGAAGCTGGACTGTATGAATACATCAGGATTGGAGGAAGAGTCATTAACAACCTGCGATATGCAGATGACACAACCTTGCTTGCTGAAAGTGAAGATGACTTGAAGCACTTACTGATGAAGATCAAAGACTACAGTCTGCAGTATGGATTACACCTCAACGTAAAGAAAACAAAACTCCTCACAACTGGACCAATAAGCAGCATCACTATAATGAAGAAAAGATTGAAGTTGTCAAAGATTTCATATTACTTGGTTGCACAATCAACACCAATGGAAGCAGCAGTCAAGAAACCAGATGACCTCTTTAAAGTGCTGAAGAGCAAAGATGTCTCTTTGAAGACTAAGGGGTGTGCTTAACCCAAGCCATGGTATTTTCAATCACCTCATATACATGTGAAAGCTGGACAATGTATAAGGAAGACCAAAGAAGAGTTGATGCTTTTGAGTTGTGGTGTTGGTTAAGAATCCTGAAAGTACCATGGACTGCCAGAAGAACTAATAAATTTGTCCTGGAATAAGTGCAGCCAGAATGCTTCCTGGAAGTGAGAATGGCCGGACTTGTCTCACCTATTTTGGCCATGTTGTAAGAAGGGACCATTCCCTGGAGAAAGAGATCATGTTTGGTATAGTGGAAGGTCAATGAAAAAGGGGAAGGTCCTCAACGAGATGTACTGTCACAGTAGCTGCAATGATGGGCTCAGGTATAGCAAGGATTATGAGGCTGGTACAAGACAGTGTGTTTTTCTGTTGTACATAGCGTTGCTATGAATCGGAGCCGACTTGACAGCATCTAACAACAACAACAACAAAAATTCAAATAGGTTTTGTCACATAACACATAGTGGACCTGATACATAGTGAGTCCTCAGTAATATTTGTTTAATGCATGTATGAAAATGTGGGCAAGGCTCGTCTTATTTCTAACTCTCAGTTTACTAAGCAGTTAAGAAAAACCATTTGGAGAGGAATCATTCTGGCTCACAGCGATCCCACGTATGTCAGAGTAGAACTGTGCTCCACGGGGTTTTCAATAACTGATTTTTTGGAAATAGAGGGCCAGGCCTTTCTTCCAAGGAGACTAGACCCCACTTCCACTGTTTCATTAGCAGCCAAATGGGCTTTAACCGTTTGCACAAGCCAGAGACTCGTACTCTACCTAGTAACTGATGAGAAATTCGGCTCAAGGATACAATTGGCTGAGTGACCCACAGACGGCCAATCCTGGCCTTTAAAGTACTCACTGGAAATCTTGGTACTTTGTGGTGAGAGGGTGGACTGGTCCGCCTCTCGCACATCGACACTCATGGGATCCAAAGTCAAGTTTTCTCTCCGCTCTTGGGACTGTTTGTTTTCCGTGACTGTACCCATGGGCGGTTGGAGGGAAAAGGGAAGACCGAAAAATCATCATTTGAGGGAAAGAGGAGGAAGGGAAACACAAGACTCAATTCCAGAAGGTAGGAAAGAGAAGGGAAGCGCTCCAATTCGGGGGCGGGGGGGGGGGGGCGGTAAGTAGGTAGACCATCGTCTGATATGTAGGGAAGACTAGGTCCCCGGGAGCGGAGAAGGCCGCTGGTGGGGAGGCATTGCCACTCCTGGCTTTACCGTGGGTCACACAGCCTGCTTCAGGGACAGGAGGAGAAGGGAGGGAGACGGTGGAAGAATATCAAGTGACAGCTGAAGAAACTCAACTCTGGCCAGAGAAGGAAGCCAGGAAGGGTGGAAAACTGCCTTCTTGATTGATGAGGAGGCATATGGAAAAAGAATGTATTGTTGACTTATTTCATGAAATTTTTAATGAATCAGATACCTCAATCAGTTACATACCTGAACCAAGAGAGGAAGGGGGCTACCCAAGACAGAAGTTGGGACGTTGATGATACCAACATGGGTTACAGGAAAGTTTGACCTAGATCAGCACTATGGTGCCAAGTCCTCTTGGCTGATTTCTCCACCTCTGTACCCCTAGGCCTTCGATTCCTGTCTCTCCTGGTTGATTCACCTTTGGTGCCTATGGAGCCAGCTACTTCCTTGAATTTCTTCCTGCCAGGTTACCTTCTTTTCTTTCCTATCTTCAGCTTATTTGCGCTGGTCTCAGGTAGGTGTTCATACTACTTGCTCATATAAGTTTCTTGGAACAGAGAATCAATACTTCAGTTTTCGAAGAGGAAAAGCAGACTAGGAGAACGCAGTTGTGTTCACTCATTCTTTCATTCGGCACGTGTTCACCGAGTTTAAACCAGCGTTGCCCAATAGAAATACAGGTTTCCCCCCGCTATCAAAAATAGAGCGTTCTTATGAACCTTTCCTAAACTGAAATAGCCTAAAGCAAAGACACAATTACCAATAATTTATATGGGAAAAAAATGTGAGCATTCCCAGACCCAAAAAATAATCTACCAAATAACACATAAAATAACACTAACATATGGTGTTCAAAAGCACAATTCAAAGCTATGGTGGCTTGATACTGAGATGCTGAGTGTAGTTCCCAGGGGAGAAGCTTGGCATGACAGTCTGGCTGGTGGTGGTGGTGCTGGTGGGGGGGGGGTGCATGCTGCCCCTAAGGGTTCACTGCAAAACAAACACTGAATACTAGTTTTGCTTTTCACATTTTTTCTTGAAAAGGAGAATCCTCCTTGGATTTCTTTCAGTTATGGAAAACAGATACTAATGTAGGTCTTTTGAAAAAAACAAGTGGCATAAAGTAAACTTTCAAAAAGTGAGGGATACCTGTATAATGAGAGCCACAAATGGAAACCACATACACAAAATTTTAAGCTTTCTAGTTACCATATTCAAAAAGGAGTCCCTGAGTGGTGCAAACAATTAACATGCTCAGTTACTAACCAAAAGCTTGGAGGTTCAAGTCCACCCAGAGGTGCCCAGGAAGAAAGGTCTGGTGATCTACTTCCAAAAAATCAGCCATTGAAAACCTGGTGGAACCCAGTTGTACTCTAACACACATGGGGTCACCATGAGTGGAATATATTCCATGGCAGATGGTTAACTGGTACACTCAAAAAAAGTAAAAACAGATTAAATAAATTTTAATAACATATTTGATTTAATCTAAAGTCTCCCAAATATTATTTTAGCATTTAATTAATATGAAAATTACTAGCTATTTAATATTCTTTTTTGTTTGATACTAACTTACTGCCATGGAGTCAGATCCGACTCATAGAGACCCCTCCTTGGATTTCCGAGGCAATATCACTACGGAAGTAGATTGCCCAACCTTCCTTCTGAGGAGTGGCTGGTGGACTTAAAGCCTCCAGACTGTAAGAGAATAAACTTCTGTTTATTAAGGCCATCTCATTTGTGGTATGTTCCTGTCAGAGCGGCACTAGGTAGCCAGAACAATAGGGTTTATGGGAGGTACTCACTGTGTGCTTTTCAATGTTTCATTCACAAAGCACTAACAGCCTCTCCATCACATCCTTCCCAGGAGTGGTACCAGTCAGCCACAGCTCATGTCCCCTAGACTCATCAGCTCAGGAAGTCCCTGTGCCCTTAATAAGAATTTATTTGTCCCCTAAAATATCCACTTCCTTGCCTGCCTTAGATATTTGATGGCTGGTGCCTCTCTCTGATTCTACATCTTTGTTAAACAGCCCAGTTTACCGTTGTGGGGCCAGCTGATCCCATCCTGGTTATGGTGGGAGAAAACAGCACATTACATTGCCACCTGTCACCAGAGAAAAATGCTGAGAACATGGAGGTGCGGTGGTTCCGGTCTCAGTTCTCCCCTGCCGTGTTCGTGTATAAGGCCAGGCAAGAGAGAACAGAACAGCAGATGGAGTCATACCAAGGAAGAACAACCTTTGTGGACAGTGATATCAGCAAGGGGAGAGTGGCGCTGATCATTCACAATGTCACAGCCCACGAAAACGGCATCTACCACTGTTATTTCCAAGAAGGCAGGTCCTACGATCAGGCTATCATGCATTTGATGGTGGCAGGTATGTCATTTCATTTTACTTTGCAGTTTTTTCACAGTGTGACTCTTGAGGAAAGGTTTCTTTTCTAAATCAAGCCCATTGCGGACCAGCAGATTTTTGTCTAGAATCCCCTTTAAACAAGGAGAATAGCTTCTTCCTGCCCAAGAGCTAAATGAGTGACATTGCCCTGCTAAATCGTGGCCATCACTTCTTCAGAAACACACACATGGAGTTTAGTGAGCCCTTGAGCAGGGGAGAATGTTTAATTCCTACAGATCCATCCTATACCTACTTCTTAAAGTTCCCCAACGGTCCTTACTTAGTACCATTTTAGAGTGAATTAGACATTTTTATTGTGAAACATAATATAAAATCAAACTCACTGTCATTGATTCGATTAGACTCATGGCAACCCCTCCTTAGGTTTCTGAGATTGCCCAGTCTTCCTTCTGAGGAGGGGCTGGTGGGTTTGAACCACCAGCCTTCTGGTTAGTAGTCAAATGCCTTAGTCAAATACCACCAAAGCTCCTGAAATACAGTATACACCCAGAAAAATTCATTAAAACTTTAATGTACACCTTACTGAATTATTATGGAGTAACCACTACTCAGGTCAACAAATAGAACACTGCCTTCTTCCTCTTCTCAATCACAAACCCTTGCCTCTCCCCATTAAGGAGTCCTTGGCTGGTGCAAATGGTTGCATGCTCAACTACTAGGTGAAAAGTTAATGGTTCAAACCCATCTTGAAGCCCCTCAGGAGACAATCCTGGCAATCTGTTTCCAAAAGGTTACAGCCTTGAAAACCCTATGCACATATAAAAACTACTCTGCATATGTGGGGTCTAGAGTCGGATTTGACTCAGCAAGCAACTAACAAGAAGTACCAAGAACTTTGCTGTTTATCAGAGCAGAGGGAAAGAGAGCCTAGCAAACTATTCACTGGCTCTTAAGGCTTCTGCCTGAGAAATGATATACTTTAATTTATGTTCAAATTCCATTGGCCAAAGCTAGTTACATGGTTACTCCTAACTTTATAGAGAAGTGCAAGTACAATCCTACCATGTGCCCAGAGGAGCCAATGCAGATTTGACTAATGCTAGCAGTTACTCATTACTGTGTCTCCTCTGGGAGCTCTGATGGTGTAGTGCCTAAGGCATTTGACTGCTAACCAGAAGGCTGGCGGTTCAAACCCACCAGCCACTCCTCGGAAGGAAGGTTGGGCAATCTACTTCCGGAGTGATACCACCTCGGAAACCCAAGGAGGGGTCCCTTTTCACTATGAGCCAGATCCAACTCCACAGCAGTGGTTGCATTTGCATTGCATATGTATCCTCTGAGTGATGCAGATGGTTAACATACTCAGCTGTTAATGGAAAGGTTCGAGGTTCACGTTTACCCAAAGCCTCAGAAGAAAGTCCTGACAATCTACTTCAGAAAGATTGGATGTTGACATGGAGTCGCCATCAGCCAGAAAGGACTTGACCGCAACTGGGTTACTGGAATATCTTCAGCACCTAATGGATTGCTTGATACTTTGTTGTTGTTGTTATTTAGTAGGTACTTAATAAATAATTGTTGAATGAAACTAAATGAGTTACTGATATAAAAATTTCAGAAAGAGAAAAATTTGTCCTTGAATTCCTTCTCATCAGTGACATTCATAAGTTTATATAAAAAAATATTTAACTACATGAGGATCTCTGCCCTCATGGAGTTCACATTCTAAGTGGGCAGAAAGCAATAAGTGAAATAATTAAGTAAAATGTAGATTATGTTAGAGGTCCCTGAATGGCACAAACGGCTTGCCCTCATCTACTAACCCACCAGCTCGACAGAAGGAAGTCCTGGCAATCTGCTTCCATAAAGATTACAGCCAAGAAAACCGTATTGAGCAGATGATGAGTATTGTAGGGGTGGGGGGTGGGGGAGCCAAGAAATGGCTTGAGAATGCTGGGGGCATAGGGTTGTTGTACATTATAAATAGGATGGCTGGGAAAGTCTTTACTAAAAAGATGACAACTGAGAAAAGACAGAATGAAGAGAGGGAGTAGGTCATGCTCCTTCAGATCTTACCAACAGGATCAAACATGGAGTCCCTTCCAGCACAGTGCCTGGCAGATGGATTCAACATGTCGTTGTTGTTGTTGTTGTTATGTACTGTGAAGTCAGACCCGACTCATAGCAACCCCTCCTTGGGTTCTGAGGCAGTATCACTACAGAAGTAGATTGCCCAACCTTCCTTCCAAGGAGTGGCTGGTGTGTTTGAACTGCCAGCCTTCTGGTTAGCAGTAGGAGACCATATACTTTTATCATTCAACTGTAGACTTTTGAGAATGAAAGGAAACTGTCAATAATTGCATTAAGACAATTGGAATAAATGAGAGCTGCCTGGCAAACTGTGATGTATGGACATTGTTTTTAGACAAATACTGTTGTTGTTGTTGTTAAGTGCCGTCGAGTCGTTTCCGACTCATAGCGACCCCATGCACAGCAGAACGAAACACTGCCCGATCCCG